TATTTTTATATGTTTTACATTTTATTTTTGCATAATTTATTTTAATAATTTTTACATTTTATATGATACAGGAAATGAAGTTTTTATTAGTTGCTTCCATTGTTAATATAAGGCAGAATCTACCAGGTATTATGAAGCATGCAAAAATGTGGAAAAAAAATTATCCCTGTTCCCAAAACCAATCATTCGTATACCAACCCTGAGGGAATTTCAGAGAAACTATGGTTGTCGAGTGTACAAATGCACAATGCAAAAAATCTGAATTTCAATCAGTTATAGTATAGACATATTTTTCTATTAATTTTGTCAATCTTAAAACAACATTAACAATGACATAATTATTTTTTGTTTTAGGTATATATAATTCCAATTAACGTACAAGATTGTACTGGAACCATTGGATTGACTCTTTTTGATAGGGAAACAAGGAGGTTGTTAAATATAAGTGCCTACGAGTTGAATAAGATACATGATGCGGTATATTATTCATACCTTTAAAATCACAAAACATTTACTTAATTTTTTTAATTTATTAAAATATATCTTACAGGCCGGAACAGTGATGCCCTATTTCCAATGCAACTTAACGTGTTGAAAAACCGCAAGTTTGGTTTTGTTGTAGATATTACAGAATACAATGTCAACAAACTATAATAACATCTACACAGTCTCAGAGTTACAGAAGATATGTCCATTGTTTGTGAATTGGAAAGTAAAATAGAACTTATGGTATGTAATTTTTTATTGTTGAAAATTTACAATTCTTTAATGTTAAAGTACATAACGATTAACATATTTCCATTTATTTTTTAGAGTATTCAATCTGTCTCCTTAAATCAAGTTGCTTTGGAATCCGATGATGTTGTACAGCCTGTTCAAAAGGTTTTTCATTTTATTTTATAAACTTTTTAATTATATTAGTTATTTTTTTTAGGAATCAAACATTTTTTTTTAATTAGGATGTGATCTCACAAACAGACGAAAGTTTTACACCCTCAACAGTTGATAAGTCAACGCAACAAGTCCTTGAAAATATCAGGTGATTTGAAGCGCAACCTCCAAGAAATTTATGATGTTGATTCTGGATATGATTTAAGTTCAACTAAGGCTAAAAGAAAGTCAACCGCAGAGGAAACTCCACTCTTGATTCCAAAAATTGAAAAGTGAGTTTCTATCGGTTATAAGACACATTTAATATATTTTGATCATTTGTTTTGGTTATAAAGATATTTTAATTGCTTGGTATGATTTTTATTTTGGGGTATTTAGGATGTCAAATATTATTGGTTTTGAATATTTTTGGATACTTTTATTGTTTTAAATTGGACAAGTTAGTTGATTTTGGTTATAACTCAAATAAAATATATTGCCCCTAACTTGATAAGTATTTCATATATCGCAATTAACAATTAAGACAAATCAATCAATCAATCAATTTGTATAATAAAAATGCGAAATTCTTAGCTTTCTTCCCCAATTCGCATTCTACTGTAAAAATTCGCATTCTTCATTCACCCTCTTTCTTCGCATGTTCCAGTCATTTTTTTTTTAGTTCATTCGCATTTGAGTTGTTTGTCTCACCAAATGCGAAATGAATATTAACCATAATCACCTTCGCATCTTTAACCCAATCCATACAACCTCATATGCGAAACCCAATTTTGATTTGTATTACCAAATGCGAACATTTTTGCTTTACACGTGAACTGCATTTGACTCCAATATTGAACAAATCACATTTCACAGTCCTTCTTGACTTCGCATTTTTCTTCACGAATCGTCCCTCAATCAATAACCCAATTAACCCAATTGCGAATCCAAAATCAAAACTTATCTGTTTTCATATGCGAACCCAACTGATTGGCTTTTCAAAATCAAATTCGCAACTCCAAATCGTTCGATTATTCGCCCCAATTCCAAAATCAAATAACAGATCCTTCGTATGATTCATTTAATAACCAAGGCTTCGTTCCAGAAAACATCGAATTTAACAGTTATTCGTTCCCACAATCTTTAACCTCCGTTTAAAATCGATCCCTGTATACAAACCCAATAACCAATCGAACACATACCATTCGAAAACAATAATCATTACACCCTTCAACATATTTGATATCGCATTTCAAAACAATCGATCTTACTTCATCTGCTTGATATATCGCAATTAACAATTAAGACAAATCAATCAACCAATCAATTTGTATAATAAAAATATTGCTATATATGTAAAGACCATATTGCCCCTAACTTGATAAGTATTTGATATATCGCAGTTAACAATTAAGACAGATAAATAAATCAATCAATTTGTATAATAAAAATTCTACTATATATGTATTCTGAATAATAAAATATGCTATTTATGTATTCTGAATAATAAATCTGCTATATCAATCAATCTATGCCCTTAATTTAAAAACAAATAACTGAATGTATATTGCTATTTCTACTTTTTTTTTATGTATTCTGAATAAAAAAAATTCTACTATAGTGTATGATATACTTTTTTATTTTTTATAACTGTCATCTTACTCTTTTCCATTTCTTTTACTTCAAAAAGACCATATTGCCCTTAACTTGATAAGTATTTGATATATCGCAGTTAAGAATTAAGACGAATAAATCAATCAATCAATTTGTATAATAAAATTCTGCTATTTATGTATTCTGAATAATAAAATCTGCTATTTATAAAATCATTCTTAACTGCGAAGAAAGAGGGTGAATGAATAATAAAATTCGCATTCTTCATTCACCCTCTTTCTTCGCATGTTCCAGTCATTTTTTTTTTAGTTCATTCGCATTTGAGTTGTTTGTCTCACCAAATGCGAAATGAATATTAACCATAATCACCTTCGCATCTTTAACCCCAATCCATACAACCTCATATGCGAAACCCAATTTTGATTTGTATTACCAAATACGAACATTTTTGCTTTTACACGTGAACTGCATTTGACTCCAATATTGAACAAATCACATTTCACAGTCCTTCTTGACTTCGCATTTTTCTTCACGAATCGTCCCTCAATCAATAACCCAATTAACCCAATTGCGAATCCAAAATCAAAACTTATCTGTTTTCATATGCGAACCCAACTGATTGGCTTTTCAAAATCAAATTCGCAACTCCAAATCGTTCGATTATTCGCCCCAATTCCAAAATCAAATAACAGATCCTTCGTATGATTCATTTAATAACCAAGGCTTCGTTCCAGAAAACATCGAATTTAACAGTTATTCGTTCCTACAATCTTTAACCTCCGTTTAAAATCGATCCCTGTATACAAACCCAATAACCAATCGAACACATACCATTCGAAAACAATAATCATTACACCCTTCAACAGATTTGATATCGCATTTCAAAACAATTAATCTTACTTCATCTACTTGATATATCGCAATTAACAATTAAGACAAATCAATCAATCAATCAATCAATCAATTTGTATAATAAAAATATTGCTATATATGTAAAGACCATATTGCCCCTAACTTGATAAGTATTTGATATATCGCAGTTAACAATTAAGACAGATAAATAAATCAATCAATTTGTATAATAAAAATTCTACTATATATGTATTCTGAATAATAAAATCTGCTATTTATGTATTCTGAATAATAAATCTGCTATATCAATCAATCTATGCCCTTAATTTGAAAACAAATAACTGAATGTATATTGCTATTTCTACTTCTTTTTTTTATGTATTCTGAATAAAAAAATTTCTACTATAGTGTATGATATACTTTTTTATTTTTTATAACTGTCATCTTACTCTTTTCCATTTCTTTTACTTCAAAAAGACCATATTACCCTTAACTTGATAAGTATTTGATATATCGCAGTTAAGAATTAAGACAAATAAATCAATCAATCAATTTGTATAATAAAATTCTGCTATTTATGTATTCTGAATAATAAAATCTGCTATTTATGTATTCTGAATAATAAAATCTGACCTATAATAATCAATCAATCTATTTGGTTTTTTATGTATTCTGCTATGTATGTATTCTGAATAACAAAAAATTCAATGTGTATTGCTATTTCTACTTTTTTTTATGTATTTTGAATAATAAAACTTCTACTATAGTCTATGATATAGTTTTTTATTTTTTATAACTGTCATGTTACCCTTTTCCACTTCGTTTACTCCAAAACGACCATATTGCCCCTAACTTGAAAATGTTTTGATAAATGCCAATTAACAATTAAGACAAATAAATAAATAAATCAATCAATGGCTTTCGATTTTTCTTTTTATATTTTAACATTTTTGTTAACAAAACAATTATTTTTTAATTGCAAGGTACAATGGAACATATTACTCCTATAAAGGAAATTGACTCAATCAAGGATGATTTCACAATTAAAGTTCGAATCATACATCTTTGGACTCAAAAGTCGAAAACTAAGTATATTGCTATTTATGTATTCTGAATAATAAAATCTGCTACTTATGTATTGTGAATAATAAAATGTAAACAAAATTTATATCTTTGATTCTCTAAAATTAATTCATACATTTTTGTAATGGTTGCAGCATATTTACTTATCTTCTGTAAATAACCTATATTCAACCAACTATTTCCTAATATTCTATACTCCCTTTTTAGATGAAATTTGAATATTAAACTAATTTTTAGTTGTAATCTTTTAAATTCCAAAAAATCAGGAAGAAAATTATATCTAATAAAGATCCAACAACAATAAAATCATATAATTGTAATCATTTTCCAATATTCAAGCATATAACTTTACCTCAAAACGTGAAATCCAAAATTTTGAAACACCTCATTCGTCTTCTTAATGTTCAAATGTTTCTGCGATTTTTTTTTCATTAAGCTTACATCAAATTGCTTCATTAAAGTTGTAATCCTCATTCCAGTTCTACCTGCAAGATTTCCATATCCATATGTCAGGTTAGTATTATCAGTTTAGATCACTTTGTTTTCTCTATGAATTTATGGTTGAAATTTACAACAATAATCAATATGCTGGAATAGATGTTTTTCTAATTGTAAAAAAATAATCTTGAATAGATACATAAGATCAATAAGCAATTTATAATCATCACGATTATCGTGTATCACACAATTTTACCTTCATTGATTCCATGGAGATCTAGGGTTTTAACCCCTGATATCATCCGAACCCACGATTGGTTGAAATTGGGGAAACAGTAGATTTAAATCGAATAAACCCTAGGTTGGAAATGAGGATGATGAGTCATGATGCTCATCAGGGAAATAATTGATTGTGGAACAGCAAGAAGGAGAGTCTACCTTCGAATCGTATTTTTCAATCCTGACGGAGACCAATTCGGACGATTACACGGTATCGTAGATCTCCATGATTTTTTAGGTTGCCTTTCATGCATTGTAGATTGCGATCGATTTAGGGGGAATCGAGGACAGTCATTGACTGCTGATCTTCGACGACCGTCTATGGAAGATTGGAGTCGTTGTATACAAACATCCAGACTTCTTTTGATGGACTTATTTCTGCAACTACAACACAATCTTCCGCTTCAAATCTTATTTTCGGACACATATCTACAATCGGACTCATGTTAACTTTAATATCTTTATTGAAAGTCTCTTTTACACAATATAAACAAATATATTTTCTATTTTATACTGTTTCATATTTTTAAAATCTTCAATTTACTAATTTTTTAAAAATATATTATAAAAGAGTAAATTAATATTTGCAAATTTTGTTAAACATTTTAATAAACAAATTAATAAAGGTAACTTTTTAAATACATTTACTTTATTATCATTATTTATTTAATTCTAACTAACTTTAATTGTATTATATAAACATATTATGTACATAATTTCACATTTCATTTCCTAACCTATGTCTTCTTATGCAGAAAACAACAGTAACATGTACCACATGCAGGCCAAAGAGAAAAGAAGACAAAGAAAAATATATTTGTAAAATAAAAGATCGAAGAAAATAAAAACAATATCAAACGTTCCAAGTATATCATTACAGCATCTCTTCAAAAAAACCATTAACTATAACCGTATTAGTATTTTATATTCCATCTTTTACTGTTATATAGTTGAATACATATATTTACAAGTTTTATAAGTTATTTCCATTTGCAGATCAATCAACCAACATTGTTCGTCAAACTCAAAAT